AAATGCGTGCTAAATAATACACCAGCTCTCCAGCCAAAGGGAAGTGACAGGCACTCTGTAAATAAAGGCACTTAGTTGCTGGTAAAGAGCTGTAAAGTGGTTCTGAGCTGATGTTTGCTGACCAGCAAGAAGCAGCTTCACCTGCTTTATATAATTGTCACTGCAGTCTTGCCTGCTGTATATTAAAACTGCATCTCATAGACCCAACTGTCACATCGGATATACCATCCAGCATGGGGTATGCCACCTTTCTCTGTAATTGTTTTTGACAACCAGGCATCACATCTCAAATCTTTCAGAAAGTGTCTGGTCCAGAATCCCTAGGCTGGGTCAGTTCTGACACCATGTGGGCTAGAACAGTAACACCAAAAGGCAATGTGAATAGAGGAGAGGGAAAAAGGGAAAAGAGGTTTTGTTGGTCTCGGAGACCAAGTAATGCATAGTGGCAAGTGTCTGAACACAAATCTCAACAAAGACTCTACCTCCTCAGTGTTAAGACACATTTTTTATGTTACCTTGTATCATGTTAGGAAAACTTGCCATAAAAATGCATGGGTATTTTGGCCCCAAAGCACACACATTTGTTCTGAGTCCACATTTCTGTCCTGCTGAGTTCTGGAGACATGGTCATGTAGCTCTCAAGACAAAGCAAACGATGGGGTTTTATGAGGACTACAGAATAAATCATAATGAAAACTGGGTAGCAGTGGCCAGAAAGCTCTGTCATTATCACTCAGGGCAAGTTAGATTTGCCTCCGCCCACTGAAAAGAGGAACACAAAATCATTCGGTACTCTAATTCCAATTCACCTGCAGTGTGGTGGTGACAAATGCCCAGATGAAGGGTAGTGAGAATATCTGAGGCCAATGAGCATTCCTCCTGGTCCAGAGCGTCTCAAGGAGGGACACAGTGGCAGGGAAACCTGGTTTGTCCCTCAAGCCCCATGGGCTGGGATGAACCCAAGGAGTGCACTGCATGATGAGCAGCCCAAGGTGAACCCAGAGCACTCACCCATCAGAGAGAAAGTCACTTCCTGTGCTGATGGCCAGGAAAGTCAGAGTGTCCCCAGAGGAGAGTGTTAGAAACCAAGGGCAAGAGAAGAGCAGACAGAGTAAGAAAACAAGGGGAAATGTGGGCTCAGTGCGTCTATAATTCTGACAGTCTCTCACTGAGGGCAGAACAGACTGCCTGCCGGCTGCTGGCAGCATGGGCCCCATTCCACTGCGGACCAAGATACATCCTCTAAGCCACAAGCCCTAAGATACATCCTCTGCCTTCTTCTGGCCCCTGCGTGCCTGTGTGCGTGCATGAGTGAGTGCATGCACGCGTGCGTGCATGGGTGTGTGTGTTTAGGGGGATAGGCGTACAAAAGAAGGAGTGCCCTTCTCTTGTTTTTGTAAGAAAACTAAACTCCCTTTCCCTTTCTTCCTTATCTCCTCCCAAAACCTATTTTCCTTGCTTATTCCCATGCTAAAGACAGTAAAGGGAAGGCTTTTGAGAACTGAGTATGTGCAGAGGGGAGGGAAAGCATTTTTACCAGTTTGGCCATCATCTAGGATCTGAGAGGCTGGGAGCTGGTTTCTGAGAGCTGGAAGGAAAACCCATGTCAGATGCACACGTAACTCAATTGTGCATTGAGATTCTGATCTATGGACCTTGACGATCACAATTATTAAATTGGGAGAAAACAGACATGCACTTTTCTGCCCCTCCCGCTCAGTTCCATCTCCCCCACCCCGCCCCCTAAGGGAGTGCTTCTCCTGCCTCTGCTTCTCTCCATTCCCCTTGCTAGCTCCTGCCAGGAGAAGAGGAGCATCTGATCGGGTCGGTCAGTTTGTTCACTGGACCGGGTGTTGTTAGCTTGCAGATTATTGTGCCTTAGAGCAGTGCACAGGAGTCACCTGGGGACCCCGTTAGAATGCAGATTCGGACGCAGGAGGTTTGGGGTGGGCATGAGATGCTGCATCTCTAACAAGCTCCTCGGGGGATGCCCACGCTGGGGCAGAGTTGGGAGGACATACATGGAAGAACAAGTACTTAAAGGCAGGACCAAACGGTGGCTTGCCTCTTCCACTTCCTAGGAGGTCAGCTGACTGTCTCCTCATATCCTCTGTCACCTGCACTCCCTGCACAGGCAGTGCAGGCAGGAGGCAGGCGCTGGCTCTCCGGGACACAGCGGGGTAGGTAAGACTCTCGTTCAGAGCCTTGACAAGTTGCTCTGCCTGCAGCCCAGCTGAGCAGTGGATACCAAGATTTAGATTGGGGGACAGGCAGGGGTTGGTGGCATGGAGAGGTGAAAACCAGGCTTCAGACTGGATCAGTCAGGGTTGCCTCAAGCCACTCCTAACAGACACATGAAAAAATGCTCCACATCACTTGGCATCAGGGAAATACAAATCAGAACCACAATGAGAAACCACCTCACATCAGTCAGAATGGCTAAAATGAACAACTCAAGAAATAACAGATGTTGGTGAGGATGAGGAGAAAGGGGAGCCCTCTTACACTGTTGGTGGGAATGCGAGCTGGCGCAGCAACTCTGGAAAACAGGATGGAAGTTCCTCAAAAAGAAAAATAGAGCTGCCCAATGACCCAGCAATTGTACTACTAGGTTTTTATCCAAGGGATACAAAAGTGCTGATTCAAAGGGGCACCTGCACCCCAATGTTTATAGCTGCATTATCAACAATAGCCAAATTATGGAAAGAGCCCAAATGTCCATCAACTGATGAATGGATAAAGAAGAAGTGGTATATATACACAATGGAATATTACTCAGCCATCAAAAAGAATGGAATCTTGCCATTCACATCAACATGGATGGAACTAGAGGATATTATGTTAAGCGAAATAAGTCAGAGAAAGACAAATATATGATTTCACTCATGTGGAATTTAAGAAACAAACAGATGAACATAGGGGAAGGGAAAGAAAAGTAAAGTAAGATAAAAATAAAGAGGGAGGCAAACCATTAGAGACTCTATAGTTAAGAGAATAAACTGAGGGTGGCTGGAGGAGAGGTGGGTAGGGGGATGGGATAACTGGGTGACGGGCATTAAGGAGGGTACTTGTTGGGATGAGCACTGGGTGTTATATGTAAAGTGATGAATCACTAAATTCTACCCCTGAAACCAATACTACACTATAAGTTAACAAACTTGAATTTTAAAAAAGCAATGAAGACTAGAAGCCACTCTATTCCAAGTATGAAGAAAATCAGACATGGACGCAACCATTGGAAGGGCCGTTTCACTTGCAACACAAGGTGGAAGTTTCCACAGGAGGTGCTGGAGACCTCAAGGCAACTCGAAAAAGACCACAGCAGCCCCCTCAGTCCCTAGCAGCAAAGCCAGTGATGCTCAGAAAGCTCCCCTAAGAGCCGCTTTGAACCTCGCATCTGCTCAGGGTCAGGCTGCCGCTGCCTCCAAAGAACTAAGGCTTCTTTCCCTTTTCCAAATTCCAGATCTCGTCCCTGGGCCCCGCTCTCCTTGGCAGACGCTGGTCCAGAACCGTGCAGAGAAGAGGATTCTAGGAACGGCTGTTCCCAGCTTTGTTGCACTGTTGAACAGCTGTGGGAGGGAGATGGTGCTGAGCTGACAGAAGGTCATGCACGCGCAGCATGACCGGTCTGGGCGGCATGACGGAGCTGAGCTCTCCCCTGTCAGTAAGATGGCACTTCTCATCCCAGCAGCTATAGTTCTCATGGGCCCTGCTCCCTCCACCTTTGGTCCTGGAATGATGGGATTCAGGCCCCCATCAGGCCCCCAAGGCCACCCATCTGGTGGAACCTTATGGCAATGATCCTGCTGTTCACGGCAAGCCTGCACCGAGGCCTCACATCCCATCCTGCCGAGGCCCTGATTAGTGAGGCTGTTTGTTACGAGGTTTGGCTGTGCTGCCTGAGACTTCTAGATGACATCTTTACTAGCAGCTATCTGCCCAGTATCCCAGGGAAAATGACAAGGAAGATGGGGGCAGAGAAGAGAAGGCAGATGTGCATCATTTAACTCTGTCGTGCCTCCTGCAGAGAATGTGTGACCTGATGAGCATCACCTCTTGCTAAATGACTTCTCGTGTCCATACTGTCCCCACTGTCCAGGGGTCACCATCCGTAGGTCGGCATATAACAGGGCAAAGCTTAACAACCCCATGCAGCAATAACAATGGCAAAGCTTAACAGAGGTCAATGGCAAAAATATATACTGGAGAGAAACATTGGGAATTGTTCCGGCAGCATCTTTCCAGTGCCTGATGTTAATCAGGGGACCCTGGTCATCAAGCCACTGTTTGGGAAGACTGAGGGGGTGGCAATTTATTTATTTATTTATTTAATTTATTTTTTTTTTTAAAGATTTTATTTGTTCATTTGACAGAGAGAGACACAGCGAGAGAGGGAACACAAGCAGGGGGAGTGGGAGAGGGAGAAGCAGGCTTCCCACAGAGCAGGGAGCCCAATGCGGGGCTCGATCCCAGGACCCCGGGACCATGACCCGAGCCAAAGGCAGACGCTTAACAACTAAGCCACCCAGGCGCCCCTATTTTTATTTTTTAAAAATTTTTATTTATTTGACAGAGAGACACAGCGAGAGAGGGAACACAAGCAGGGGGAGTGGGAGAGGGAGAAGCAGGCTTCCCGCGGAGCGGGGAGCCCAATATGGGGCTCGATCCCAGGACCCTGGGATCGTGACCTGAGCCGAAGGCAGACGCTTAACGACTGAGCCACCCAGGCGCCCCATGGGGGGTGGGGTGGCAATTTAAAGGCTGCTTTCCTCTCTGGGACGGCAGCCTATTCTGAGTGTGGGTGTTCAGGTCTCAAGCCTGCTTCCCGCGATGGTAAGAAGAGGCAGTGGATGCCCCTTTGAAAGCCATCCCAGCAACCGCAGGTGTCACTGCCAGGCAGGCTGATGTGAGCCTCTTTGAATTACTGAGTGAAGGATATCCCTCTTGCCAGCCCCTGTCCCCTGTAGGCACAGCAGAGAAGTATTACAGGCTGTCCTTACCTTGGGAATTAGCCTGCAAGACCCCGATGCTGTCATCAAACTGCATAGATTTGATGTTGAGTGACGCCAAGATGCATTCCTTGTCCTGCAGCGAAGTATCATCAATATTATTCTGATTGGCTGACAGGATAACGCACATGTCACAGAGGTTGATGTTGACGGCCCTTAAATCAGCCCGACTTAATGGTGTACCCTTTGGCATAGAGGAAAGGAAAAAAAAAAAAGAGAGAGAAGAAGCCAAAGTGAGACCGAGGGCCGAGAGGGAACGAGGGGGAAAAATAAAAACAAATTAAAGATTGAGCCAGAGCTTTGGGAAATTATTTAACAAGTATCTTTGTTACGCCTTGACATTAAGCTGGCCTAACTACATTCAAGGGAATAGGAGCTGTGTGGTAATCTAAAGGGTAGTCAGGGCTGATGGTGGCATTTCAGGCTTGCTCTCCACGTTCAATCAAGCCGTTGCTAACAAACGAGGGAGAGGAATAATGCCAGGGTCCTACATCTTCTTCCTGCTTGGAAATTGTCTTGATTTAAGAAACTGTCCTGTGGCAACCTCTGGCTTTCAGAACATAACGAGGGGATGGGTTTCAAACGCCTGTTTATTTAATAGCAGGTCACTTCTGTCTCGGGCAAAAACAGCACCTCCAGCTAGAATTTCCAGTGCAGCCAAGGGGAAATAGCCAGTGAGCGTGGTGTGATGAGGGGGTGCTGATAGTGGCTGCTCCACCTGGAGGAGGTGGGAGGGTTGGAAGGAATGTGCATCTTGCAAAGGGGCGGGGGGAAAGGAGTTAAGCTTCAAGTCATATAATTTTATTGCGTATTTTCAGCAAGAAAAAAACAAAAACAAAAACAAAAACCAAGAGGGGCACCTAGGTGGCTCAGTCAGTTAAGCATCCGGCTCTTGGTTTCAGCTCAGCTCATGATCTTTGGGTTGTGAGATGGAGCCCCACACCTGGCTCTGCACTGGGCATGGGGCCTGTTTAAGATTCGCTTTCTCCCTCTCCCTCTGCACTCCCTCCCCTGCTCCCTCTCTAAAGAACAAAACAAAACAAAAAACAAGAAAATCACCTAATTGACCAACAACATAGGGATGGTTGAATATACCACTGGAATATGTTCAAGGGAAGTCTATGCAGCAGGTAAAGAGACCAAAACAGTTCTCCATGTAGGCATAGCCTTGGAAGGATCTCTGAAATAGTGGGTTAAGTGAGGGGGGAAAAGACACACACACAAAAAAGTTGTAGATAATTCAAAAAGTATGATTTCATTTATGTAAAAAGAAACCCACAAAAAAAACCTATATATTCATGAATATACTGATAAGTGCATGTACATTCAGAGAGAAATTTCAAGAAAAATATACACTAAACTAATAATAGTAATTACCTCTAGGGAGGAGAATGAGATTGGGGGTAAAGGAAAAAGTTTGTTTTGACTTTACATACTTCTGTCTTGTTTGAATATTTTATAACAAGAATGTATCTGTATATTACCGGTATAATTAAAAATAAATAAGCCAGTAAACAGATTTTTTTTTTAAATCCCGTAACAACAAAAAGCAGTGGGGGCGGGGAGAACAGAACAAGGAGGTAATGACAGAGAGGTAGAGAATGCAAGCTCAGGTGAAATAAAAGGATTAGTGCTAGAGGAGAGAGGTGTGACCTCCACAGCCTCTGTGTCCCTAGGAGGGATCATAGAACTGATCAGGCCAGCCCATGCTGGTGCTCCCCAGGGGCCATATGGTCTCATTTTGGAATTCACATACTGGGTTCTCCAGCCTGAATCCAGCTTCTGCTTTGCCTACATGGGGATTTGAGTTGCCTTCAACTCACTGACTGTGTAGGGAGGGGGTCTGCCAACCACCAGATATCCTTGGATCCCTTCCTCCCATTCTCCCTCCTGGAGAAGGGGCTTTGAGCTGATGGAACTTGGCTGCACAGATTGAGACCATCAACCATCTTTTATGACTCAGTGACAGTCATGATTCTGCTCTCAGCCCCCAAAAATACTGCTGCAAAGGGATATGATGGAGGAAGAGGCATTTAGGGCTCTGGGGCTGGGAAGCTACTAGGCTCTGGAGCAGTATCTTTTGAGAGGAGAAGAACCCCACTTTTCCAGGGATCTCTTGGTACAAAATAAATCTGACCAACTTCCTGAATCATTTTACCAGTGCATAAGCCTCAATTGCCTACATCCATATTCTTTTAATTTTCACCTTGTAGGGAATCCAGCAGTAATTGTGATCTAAGACAATCCCTGCACAGTTGTATACACATGATTTCAAAACTCAAGAAATACAAATGACATACACAGAAACACCATGTTTCTGTGGGCTGGCTCCAGATGGGGGGTACTGTTTAAACAATGAAATATGTGAAGACAGAGATGAAGGCCCATTTTGTACAAATATATTGTGCTTGAGTGAGCTAAATTTTGGAGAGTTTAAAAAGGACCTGCAAATATGAGAGCTTATTCATATGCATACCAACAGGTGAGTGCATGTATGGAAGGGTACAAAGAAGGAAACACACACACATACATCACACACACAGAGACTCATGTAGCCCAGCAAAATAATAAGCTCTTTTCAAAATACTTTTAGACCCCAGTCCATGTGTCCCCAGGGGACCATGTGGAAAAGCACATGTAGGAAGACAGTCGTGGAAATACATACTCAAATCTATGACGACTGAAATTAGAAAGGTATATATCTGTTTATGCTCTTCCATGCATAGGACTATTTGTTTTTCTTCAGGTGACTGTTTTTAACTACATGTGTTTACTAAATCAGTTTACTAGTTTACTAAATCTAGAATTGTTTAAAAGTTTATGAAAAATATATTGATTAGTGATTAGGAAGTAATTAGATGACTCCAAGATCATGTATCCCATGTTCTTACACTAAATTATGGAGTCTCAAACTGTTCCTTTTAGATTTGGGTCCTAGGATTTTTTAAAGTCAAGAATATCCCATGCACATATGTGCACACATACATACAAGCCCATGAAAACATTGCTAGGCTTCTAAATGAATGGAAGGCAGGGAGTGGCCAGCAGAAGGGGTTGGCAGCAGGAATAAAGAAAGAACTCTTAAATCCACTTGGTTAAAAACATAAAGTGGTACAACCAAGATTTATAGAAGCGTTAATAATGTCATAAGTAAATTGACAGAAGTAGTTCCATAAGTAAATTCTGCTATAAGCATCATAATATCTCAAAGCACTAGGTTTGGGTAGGCAAGAGAGAGAGTGTAGAGACACTGATATGGTAATGCATTTGATACCAGCCTAACTTCATGCTCGATGAGCAGCTGAACTTGGCTGCAAATTCCTTTTAATAAGGTCTCCCAGGGTTTAGCTATTCCTAGACAGAGCAGAGGGGAAGGGCTGAGTCCTCAGGCCCCTAACCAGATGAAGAAGCAGACGCATGATCAAAGCTACAACTATCATATCCACCTGGGATTTTGTTTTGTGAAGGGAAAGAAGAAAAAAACATCACTAATGTGACCCTGGACTTACAGGCAATATGGACACTTTGGGGAAGTTATGAAGCGTCTCCCATTCCCGCTTGAGGTACTCAATGGAGCCCACAAACACGATGTGCTTGAGCTCATGGTAATGAAAGTTGCTGGCACGAAGTGGCATCACCAGGTTCCGGAGGCCAATCAGGGCTGAGCTGACATCACCAAAGATGCAGACCACGACGTGACCGCTCAGGACTGTCATGGCGGCTTCACTTCGAGTCTGCAACAGGGAGAAGTGTACCAGCATTGGAGAAAAGACCTCAGAGGTTGTGGTAAGGATTAAAAAAATCACTTTCATAAAGATAAACGTTTGTTGAGTGCTTACTATGTGCTTTCATTTTTATTTCATCAATGTTACAGTCACGCCATATGTATTTATAATTTGAGTATGTGTGTATACATTATATTGGTGTAATAAGTATATATAAACATATATCCACACATAACATGACCTTTTTTGACAAAGATTTAAGAAAGTTATGCCATAATACATATGAGCCGGTGCTCTTTCCTGATGATTTTTAGGGGGGGAAATAAGAGGGAATAGCAATATTTATGTTGCTTAGAAAAGAAGTCTTAGTTTCCATGAAATTGTTGATAAAATAAGCTGCCTTTTCTGGCTCTCTTGCTGAAATGATGATAAAATGGTAAGATCTATGCTAGTCTCAGCTTGAGAAGTTTGAATTTTGAGTTCTGGACTCACCAATGGGATTTCACACTACATCATTACATCAGTAGATAGAATATAACATCCTAAGCCAGGGGCTGGCAAGCTATGGCCCACAGGCCAAATCTGGTCTATACCCTGCTATTGTTTGGCCATGACCAAGGCAAGATTGGTTTTTACGTTTTAAAATGGTTGGGAAAAAAAGAAGATTTCATAATATGTGAAAAATACATAAAATTCAAATTCCAATAAAATTTTATTGCAACACAGCCAATCTTATTCATTTAGGTATTGCCTATGGCTGCTTTTGCATTACAACAGCAGAGCTGATTAGCTGTGACAGAGACCATATGGCCAGCAAGATCTAAATTATTTATTAGATGACCTTTTGTAAAAAGAGTTTGTCGACCCCTGTCCACTGCTGCTTTGTGGTTTCCAGGGACATTCCTGGAGAGGCCCACCTGGGTAAGTCATCAGAGGAAGACTCCCAAAGAACAATTAAAAGGATCTAGAGATCGATCAGCAAGAGTAATAAGCCCATGTCTTCCCCCCGACCCTAGGCTTGATCTCAAATGAATGAATAAAATCACCCCAGTGAATGAGGACCCCCAACTTCCCATGCAAATGTTTAGCCACTGCCACCCTTTTGCTCACTGTGTTAGTGAAGAGAGCAACACAGGAGGCCACTTAGTGGGCCTTTCTCCACTCCTCCGTCTGGTCCAATACCTCCCATTCTTGCCTTTCTTCCTCCCGATCCACCCACTGCATGCCTGGATGGCCCCATGTGGCTTTTGGGGGGGCATATTAATGTCCACTGCACATATCAAACTCTGCTTGACTTAATCCCTAGAATTGACCAGTGTATTGATTGTTTAAATGCCAATATTACAATTCACGACAATGTCAGGGTTATTACAGTAACCCCCAGGGAGAAGAAGAAGCCAGCTTTCACTGCCTGATCGTTAGAATAAAGCAGGGCTGTCACCATTATCGGTTTCCCTCTGCAATAGCCCAGGAACACCTAAGACAGGGGCTGTAAGATATGTCTTAGAAACAGTGACCAAGGAGGACCCACTGGGAAGTCAACATCCCATTTCACTGCTTCACGGAGAAGACCTAGAGTTAGTTTTCTTGGCTGCTTGGAAGTCTGAGTGCCTGGATACCGTTAGCAGAGCATCAACCAGTCTGTAACATGCTGTGATGGGGTTTCTAATTACTTTTAATTGGAGTCTAGCTCTCTTCAATGAGCTTGAGGAATACAAACTGGGTCCAGAGCGAGGGTTGGAAATCTACATTGGGAGGTGGGTAAGGCTCCAGTTAGCAAAGTGGCTGACCACAGGAGCTTAGCTCTGGGGACCGAAGCACCAATCCTTAGACCAGCCATAGTAACATCACCTGCAGAATCTTGTTGAGATCCCAGTTCCCGGAGAGTTTGATTCTACCAGGCTTAAGACCCACCAGAGAAACTACTCTCATGTACATCTGGTGCTTCTTATACATCTGTGAAGGTTTAACCCCAGCTGGGCCTTAATGGTGTTAAACCCTTCAAAGCGCAATCTGTTTGCATCCAGTAAGACTCCTCTGGCCACTGAGATACATCCTAGTCTTCTCCCCTAGATTTGAATAGCGTAACACTTAGCTTTAAATACACTGTTTCATAGTTACATTTTATATCTTCTAATTAGATGATCATTTCCTCAAGATTGAGGCCACTTCAGGGGCGCCTGGGTGGCTCAGTTGGTTAAGCGACTGCCTTCGGCTCAGGTCATGATCCTGGAGTCCCGGGATCGAGTCCCGCATCGGGCTCCCTGCTCGGCGGGGAGTCTGCTTCTCCCTCTGACCCTCCTCCCTCTCATGCTCTCTGTCTCTCATTCTCTCTGTCTCAAATAAATAAATAAAATCTTTAAAAAAAAAAAACAAAAAAAGGTTGAGGCCACTTCATATTTTCTAACCCCACAGCAGTTAGTGTCCTGCGCCCAGGGGGTCCATGCAACCCCAAAGCATCTTCACATAGCTGGCTCTTCTGAGTATTCTCATCTCTGCTCCAGTGGGACTTTGGCGAGGGCTTCTTGGACCACACTGTCTAAATAGTACCTCCTGGTCCCTTTCTAGCCCATGGCCCTCCTTGATTGGTCTTCATAGCACTGGATCCGTGTCTGAAATGTTTTTCTATCTTCATCTGTTTACCTGGAGATCTTCTCTTTGCCTTCCCTGGAACATAAGCTCTATGACAGCAGTCATTGTCAGGGGCTTTACCCCTAGCCACAAAAGCAGTGCCTAGCACATAGATGGCCTGTTATAAATGTTTTGTTAAATGATGTTACTTTTCAGATGACAGAAGCAGTAACTCACTTCCCTAAACTCTTTCATGCCAGAGGGGATTTTGTTTGGATGTCAATTAGCCATACCCTCTTCAGGAATACCGGCAAGCCATTAAAACCCTGGATTCCAGATATGATACCCAGCCCTTTACCTGCCACAGGTGGGTAACACCAGTCTGAGTTTGGATCAACAGGGCAAAAGTGCAATGAATACACCAGGATGTAAATACATGGAGCACCTTCATGATTAGAACCATTTGTGCTCCTGGTAAATTGGACAGTAGCTGTTTCTTGAGAATTCTGACTTTCTGTGCTTTTGTCTGTAACATTCACACCTCTAAGACAGCCTCTAGCACAACACTGTATTGGCTCTTAATTGCTTGATTATAATTAAACTGAGAAAACACACACATACACACATTCAGATAAAACACACGGAAAAATCTAGTGTATTAGAGTACAAAGCCATTCTGAGGAACTGGGGCAGCCCATTTCTAAGAAGGGCGGCCATGACATCAGAAATGATAGGATTTTCCCGGCTGACACAAAGAAGCAGAGCACAGCAATCTGCGATGAGAAGGCATCTGACCTTCCTGATTATTAATCCATTTTTCATGGATTATTAGCAGGACAATAAACTGTAGGGAACCTGATGTGGGCATTAAAACCTAAAGCTGTTAATAGGACAAGTCCGCAGAGTAGAATGGATTGTTATCTAGGCTGACATTCCTAGCAGAGACCAGAAGAAGCCTACTGCCAGCTACCAAGATGACCCAACCATGAAACAGGACTCTGAGCCCCCACCTGCCCGAGGTGGACCCATGGCTCATCATTGTCATCATCAGTAAATGCATTTTGCATCATGTGCTAAGAAGGATCCCAAATATGTAAAGCTATTATCTAGAAGAAGACAAGACATTGTTATAAACAAGTAACATTGCTTATTTTATTGGTAGCATTCACATCTCTTCATGGCATTTAGTAATAATAATAAGAAGAAGAAGTAGGAGGAGGAGGAGGAGGAGGAGTAACTTTATTGAGTCCCCTGTGGGTTTTACTCTTTACTACAATCCTAGGAGTTAGAGTCAGTCTCATCTCATCTTCTTACAGGTAAGAGAACTGAAGTGTAAAGAGGTCAAGCAGAGCCACATCCATAGGAATTATATACATACTGCCTCCCAAGATGTCTTGCACACAGCACATGCCTGCCCCATATTGTAATAAGCCAATAAATACTCAGATTAAAAATTCCATCCTCGGTTCATATTCTGGTGAGAGTTCTAGCTCCTTCAATCTGAGTCCCAAATTTTAATGATCAAAAATAGTTAGGACCAGGGACTGTGCCTTCACCAGCCGGTTAGGGAAACCTCATTCCTAGCAATGGTAGTTTGGGACCACAGTGGATGGCATAGATTCTGCGGCCTGCCACTCACCAGGATGACTTTCTCTATCTCCTTGGGTGCGCACCAGTGAAACATGCCGGTGGAATCGTACTTCTTCACGTTGGAGTCCATGTTGTCAATCTGATCATTGCCAGGAATTAACAAGGGGTCATGCCTGGGGAGAAAAGGACAAGAAAACCTAAGTGGAAAATGTAATAAATTATAAATGGAAAGTGTCCCCTGAGTCACATCTCAGAGTAGATGAAAGATGCAGAGAAAGTGGCTATCACTGAAGGCCATTCTTTTGCTTGCAGAACCCATTCCTTGAAAGACAACTGCCCCAACCACCACCACCACCTGGAAAGGCAGGCGACCTTTTTATCAACTAGTAATTCTGCCTTTCCCTCCTGTTCCCATTTCCCTCAAAATGGCCTTCACGTCATTTTGTGGATTTAGCCTCTTTTTATGGATACCTCTCCCTCCTATTCTCATTTTACCAGCTATCCAATCTCCCCCATGTGTGCATGTATGTGCGAGCGTGCACACACACACACACACACTCACACCAAAGAGTTGTTATTAGCATTGGCAATGAAGAGGAAGGAATAGGAATAGAGCCTCATGCTGAATGACTGGCGTGAGGATGGAAAGCCAATTACTTGCTCTTTCTGACTACAACTTCTGACGTGATGCTCTTCGCAGTAAAAGCTTTAACAGGCTGCACTTTAAATATTTTAGCAATTTGCCCAATCAGATTTTGCTCTCCCCGGCTGAAGCCCTTTAAAGATTCAGCAGCATGTCACTTCAGAGCAGATTGACTACCAAATGCCCACATCTGGAATACATGATTTCAATACTAAACAACACCCTCTCTCCTTGCCTTGACAACTGTATTTGCACTCACCGTCCAATGATGGTCTCCCCCACCCCCACTACATCTCCCAACTGCAGCCTTCGTTGGATGAGAGCTCAAGCGCTGACGCATCTTAATAAACTTGTCTTGAATTCACTCTCTTGCCTTGTTTACTGGTGGAAAGGAAAGATGCTGCTACAGAGGCCTCTCCTCCAGTGGGTTGGCAGAGCCTCACCAACAACCTTAGGAATTACAATAAAATCAGGCAGGTCTAACAGGCTCACAGCATAAGAGACATACTCCTACATTTTGGGCCATATCCATTGTCCAGATTCCATCTCTGATAGTGATTCCATATCTCAGTTTTGGGGGAGGTCGTTTTGGTTTCTACAACATTGATCACATATAATTAGGACAAGTCCCAGGCACACATACCTAGCTGTCCTTTCAGGGGAGATATCTTCCCTAAATAATATCACCAATTCAAGATAGAAAATACAAATAGGTTCAAATTCCAAAAACTTATTATAATGTGATTTTCCCTCTTAAATTATCTATTTTAAGCATCACTGGATGACTATTTAGTTTTTAGTATTTCTCCCCCTGACATTTCTCTGATACGTCTCATTTATATGTCCACAACATAGAAAGTGGGACAGGGACTGAGCCTGGGTGGCTCAGTCGTTGAGCACCTGACTTCGGCTCAGGTCATGATCCCAGGGTCCTGGGATCGAGCCCCGCATCGGTGTCCCTGCTCAGTGGGAAGCCTGCTTCTCCCTCTCCCACTCCCCCTGCTTGTGTTCCCTCTCTCACTGTGTCTCTCTCTGTCAAATAAATAAATAAAATCTTTAAAAAAAAAAAAAAAAAAAGAAAGTGGGACAGGAATCTCTCCTACATGATCCACAGACCTAGAATTAAGCTTTCGGGATATCAGGATATGTATCATGAACACCCGCCACTCCCCCCCAATACTCACTCCACCCCCACTTAAGATGGGAAAACTCTCACTGCATTTATTTATTCCTGAGGATTTGCTTTTAGGTGATACCAAATGGCAAATACTGTGTGAGGCAATTCTGCAAAGTTATCTTCACCAAACATGCTAGATTACTATAGAAACTGTCATATCTAATCTTCAAAGGAGAAAAACAATCCACCTTGGAACAGCATCTCCATAGCTGTTGGGAGGTCTTAAGGTGTTGTAAACCACCAGGCCACCTTTCAAATACTGAACTCGGTCAAAAATGCTAAAATAAAAAGGCAGTTGCTCCTAAGAACTGGTCACAGATCAGGGCAAGAGCAACTTTTGATTTCTTTTTCACCTTTGAAACATCTTTAATAGTTTTTATAGATATCTGTCTGTGATAGGTAGGTGGACAGAAAGCACCAAAGAGAGGAGATTTCAGAAAATAAACAGAATGAACACTTCCCAGCCCTAGAAGAACATATTTTAGTTACAAGAGGATCTCAATAAATTTTCCCTGAAGAAATAGAGCCAACTTCAAATTCTCTTGCCCAGTTTATTGGTTAGAGAGGAAATATTATCTCAAGAAAGTTTGAGACTTGCCCCTAACGTCTCCAACCCTCATCTTAGAAGAGTAAATAACAAGCCTGATGATCAGTTATCCCTCAATGAGAGGAAAAAAAGACAGTTTTTTAATGTCAAGCCTCACTAACTGGGGTGAGGGTCTGGGGAAAGCAGATATAATTTCTTTTTTCTTTTTCTTTTTTTTATTTTTTATTTTTTTTTAAGATTTTATTTATTTATGTGACACAGAGAGAGAGGGAACACAAGCAGGGGGAGTGGGAGAGGGAGAAGCAGGCTTCCCGGCGAGCAGGGAATCTGACACAGGGCTCGATCCCAGGACCCCGGGATCATGACCTGAGCCAAAGGCAAACGCTTAACGACTGAGCCACCCAGGCACCCCTATAATTTTTTTTTTTTTAAATCTTATTTGTTCTTGAAGTATAGTGGACATACAATGCTATATTGGTTTCAGGTGTAATTTGACATTAGGGTTGCAAGCCATGATTGGCACTGGAATATCCAGAAGCATCTGAGAAGTCTCAGTGGTATGCCATGCTGCACTCTGTACTCCCTACACACGTCTCACCCTGGTCTGGATAATTTAAATGTATTACCCAGGATCGTCCTCAAAGGATCTGAGCTGAGAACCATTAAAAATCTCCCCAAACAAAGATATTTCCTTTTCTGACCAGCCCTGGTACCTGGACGTTGAACTTTGAGTTCTTGTATCATCAAAGCAGCCAATAAACATGAATTTTCTATTTTGATCCAGGAATGGAGGCTACTCTGATGATTAAGATGCAGTCCCTAGTCATAGAGAGGGTCATAATATAGCAAGAGAGAGGAAATGTCAATCAATAGTTGTGATACAGTGTGATGAGTGTTACAGCATATAAGGGTGGCATGAGAATACCAAGAAAGAAGCTGTTAATTGCCTGGTATTTGAGTAATATTAAAGAAGGCTGCCCAGAGAAGGGAACATTTTATCTTATCCCTGAAAGGTGAGGAATCTCAGCATAGTTTAGTGTTGATCCACTAGCAGCCATTAGGATCCACTCAGAGACTTGAAGTCCAAATGAGCCCAAGGATGGCACCCCAAACCATGGCTGGCGATGTTGGCTATGGTATCGTCCAACCTGAGGTATAGAAGACTCAGGCCAGGCACACTAGCTGTCCTCTGATGTGCAATGGTGGTCATCAAATAGAAGATGGAATCCACTGATTGCATATGACTGACTGAGAGCAGGCTAAGAACCATGTGTGGAATTTAGATAGAACAAATATCAAGCTTCCAAACATGAAGAATGTTATAAAAATGGAAGGGGTTCAAAAAAAAATGACATGTTTCCCAAGGCAGTGGATTTCTCATCCTTTGAGACATTCCAGAAAAGCTGGGATACAGAGATTTCATTATAAATGTTGGGTGAACCTAGAAGACCTGCTCAGAACAGAAGCACCATTCTCTCACTGAGAAAGAAGTAGCTAGAAGAATTCTGGAAATACTGGGCCACTGCTGGGCATCCCAAGGCCAGAGGGCACTAAGTAACTGAAGAAAGGTTGTTGTTGGAGCGAAGATGGGAGATAAGAAGAAATAAAGACCGAGTTCCATGAAGGACCATGAGTGTTCCTCATCCATTGGGTCCTACCATCTGGAAGGAAGCTTGGAACATGATTCATTCCAACAACACAAGGGTCTGTAACTACTTTGGGCCAGACAGGATGAATTTCTTTTTTTTTAATTTTTTAATTTTTTTTTATTTTTAAAGATTTTATTTATTTATTTGAGACAGAGAGAATGAGAGAGACAGAGAGCACATGAGAGGGGGTAGGGTCAGAGGGAGAAGCAGGCTCCCTGCCGAGCAGGGAGCCCGATGCGGGACTCGATCCAGGGACCCCAGGATCATGACCTGAGCCGAAGGCAGTCGCTTAACCAACTGAGCCACCCAGGCGCCCCAGGATGAATTTCTTTATCATGACTGTTCCTATAGTTATTTCAAGTGGCTTAGATTGGCTTAAACTGCAAAGGTCTCTGACATAGGTGAACAGTAAAAAGCCAGCTGGCCACAGGAACTTCTAAATTGAGGTTGATGGAGTTTACATCAATAAAAGAAAGTTCGAGCATTTGCCACTGAGCACAACAACCAACATTTCTGCGGTCAGGGGAGGCCCAGGGGAAGAACCAGACAGTTTGTTGTATCTGGAAAGGAAGTCCACCAGAAACCTCCCTGAACAAAGAATCCCAGCATCATTTGTTTACAAAATGATTAAGAGAATCACATTCAAATGTTCTCAGACGATTCCTCAAAGACCACTTAGTTGGAACTAAGGAGAGATACTAGATATTGTCTTTCCTGTCTTAATTATTTTATGCATTTCCTCAACTCACAAAGTAATCTCAACTCTCTTAAAATGCACCATAATTGATTTGAGGCTCATTTGTCATTTACCACTGAGCCAATGTGCATGCACTATTTTAAGGTAACAGAAACTCTATGAGCTGAGGTCTTTCTGCTGCATAGCTGCTAAATGAGCATAATTCTGTCCCCACAAAGTCTGAACTTTGTATATCGAAGTCTGAACTCTCAGTATCTCAGGATGCGAGTGGACAATATAGTCTTTAAAGAGGTAATTAATTAAAAAGAGGTCATTAGAATGGGCCCTAATTCAGTATGGCTGCTGAACTTAGAAGAAGAGGAAATTTAGACATAGACATGTAGAGACATGTGAAGACACAGGGATAGACAGCCATCTAGAAACCAAAGAGAGAGACCTGGAACAGAGCCTTCCTTCATTG